CTACATTTTTCTCGCATAACATTAAACACAACGAGAGTGCAAACATATTATTGATATCGAGATAATTAAGGTCCACCTGGTGTGTACAGTGTGGTCGATGTTGTCAAATTGCACACGAAGCTTTCGACTTTCTTACTGAACGTCGCAAACTTGTCATCCTTATTCACCAAATTTAGCTGCAAAGTCAAGAAAACTATAATGTGAAATGAAATGTGTGAACATGCATATTCGACTGAATTTCAATCTATGGTTCAATTTGTCATACCCTGGCTAAGAGAACGTACACACCATAATGTTTATTATTCCAGTTGAAAATATCTGGCAACTCCTCAAACCCGAATGGTGGAATTAATTCAATATACCTACTCTCGTCGGTTGCTCGGTGCAGCCATGCCGCTCCCCATGCCAACTCATCCTGCACTTGATCCAATCATCAGTCCTAAAAGAGAGTCATCATNAAAAAAAAAAAAGAAGAAGAAGAAGAGTGATTGATTAATTGATTATACCTCAAATCCTGCAGACGGATAAAACTTGCCCACAAAATAACCGACTGATTCATTATACCTTCCTCTGTGCTTCACCGCAAACTTCATCACACTTGTTGCAGTCCTCAACAGCAGCTTGCTGTACTCGGGATCTGATTTCCGGAAAACGATGGAGGCAGACGCCAAGGCAGCAGCAGTTTCGCCTGCCACGTCAGACCCCGGTTTTTTCGCTGACACGTAATATGCTGTCCTGTCAGTGTCCATGTCCTCTGGCCTCTCCCAACACTTGTGGTCCTTGTTGGCATCCCCGACCCCCACGTACAGCCTGCCATGTTTCGTGCGCGCACTTGAGCAGGTAGTCCGTGCCCCACCTGATCGCAGCCCGCGTGCTCGCCAGCTGTGGGCCCAGCTTCTTACCGTACTCGATCGCGCTCCACGAGAGCATGGTTGTGGTGAAGGCCATCGGGAGGTTGAACTTCACGTTGTCACCAGCATCGTAGTACCCGCCAGTCAAGTCCACCTGTAACTAAATAATAATAATATAAAGCAATAATCAATGATATTAATAACAAGCAATATTCTATATATATATATATATATATGACACGCACGTGGTCCGACTGGCCGTCCGAAAGTCCAGAATCACCTCGCCAAACGATTTCTTGATCGACAACTTCAAGGCTGCCGGACCTCTGGCCTTGGAAGAACATAACGGATTTCGAGAGGGCTTCTGCGTAATCGTGGGCCCGTTTGGCTTCCACATTTCCGTGGTATGCGAAGGAGGAGGATAAGAGAAAGAATAGGGTGAGAGCCACCATATTCATAATCCAGAGGAGATGGGAAATGGGATGACACAAACTATACAAGTACAAAGGCTTAATTTAACTTTGTTTTGTCATTTGTGTAACCATATGCATGAGGGTTTATGTATAGTATATGATGTAGCACCAAAACTAATTCGGTGAACTGGCTCAGTGGTTAGCTCGGATAAGGGCGGTCCAAGGGAGCTTGGAGCCTATTTTATGTAATACACTGTATTAGTTAAAGATATTCATGAAAGTTGGTGTATATCTACACAATTATTGAAGAATATCATAATTCTGATTTATTGATGAAATTCATTATCTTGGGGGAGTAAGTCATTAAATAAGGGGCCAAGTTCATTTTCTAATCCTAAGCTCTTAAGATTATTTAAGATACACGATCAAAACATTCGTTTTCTGACTTGAGCGTCGGAGTGTCTACGTCGGGGCTCCGCCCGGCGCGTTGCAGGTCGATCCGGTTCCTGAAGACGAAGACAATCGAGATGTCCAAACTCTCACACAATCGAGATGAGGCGGTTCGACCGGCAACCTCGGTGAGTCGATTATGGCTCATCAGTATCAATGGCTGCAAATGCCAACGTTAATTAAAGCTTTTTGAATGATCCTACGTTGATTGTTCAACACAACACGAATTAGTTCCATATTAAAATATATCTATGAGATCTTGATATGCATTCACATGAGGGAAGAATAAAAGGGAAGGGGAATCCTCATCCATTGTACCATGTTGCTTTTTTCAGCTCAGGGGTGATTGGATATAAATTCAACTAGTAAAAAACTAGTTTTTTTTTAACTATAGTTAAGTTTTAAAAAAGTAGTATGGTTAGTTGTTAGTGGATATAATAAAATAATATTTAAATTAAAATAATTAAAGTTGATTTGATGTAAAAGTAGGAGAAAATGATTGGAAGTGATAGTTAGTTAAAATTATGTGAGTGAATGAATAGTGAATTAAAGTTGATGTGATGTGTAATAATGATTGGTTGATATTATTTAATTATATTGATAATATTGGAGATAGTAGAGTTGAGTTAAGGTTGAGTTAAATTTGAGTTTTGAGTGAGATATTTACTGTTGAAATTATATACAATCATGCCCTCAGTTGTTCACTTGGTCTAGCTCACTACTGGCAGCTACTACGTGATTAATATTAATTTATTATATTTAATTATAGTCCCACATAGCTTTGGTTAGGTACACTTAATTAATTATAAGTCGTCACATCCACATGCTTGGCAGTTGGCACGATCACCAAGATTTTATTTTAAATTTTGAAATAAAATAACAAAATATGTTAATTTTTCATTATTCATTAATGAACTGTTTTTTTTTTACCAATTTCATAATTTGTTGTTCAATATTTTATAGAACACATATATANACGATTCTGATTTAAACTTGATTAACGAAACAAACTCATAAGTGCCAAAAAATAAGAAATGAGTAAATTTTGGGTACCAAAACATTTTTAATTTTATTTAGGCAAATTAGATTGTGAAAGTTGACTTTTGGCCAAGCATTAATCAGACTTGTTCAACATAACTGGCAAACTCATCATCAGATATTGTTAACAATCATTTGGTCTAACAAACCGACCAAAAAAATACCTTAAATCACGCGGAGAAGGAAAAATTATAAATCTAGAAAAAAAGCCACTGCAAACAAAGTCATAGCTATTTTCATAGTGATAATACTGCTAAAATTATATCATCTGTGAATTGAAGGACATAAGTTTAAGAGGAATTGACAAATTGATTGCCGTCGATGATACAATATTATCTACAGTCAAAACATTATATACCCCACCCAAGAGCACGTGGGTGAGATGGTTGGGGTCTCTCCCAGCTTAACCAGAGGTCTCGAGTTCGAGCCCTAAGAATGCAGCTGTGTTAAAACTCTTGAGGTAGAGCTTTGCCGCCCTTGTGGTCCTACCCGGCTCGATTTCGGATTAGTTAGTCCCCTAGGGGATTCGGAAACCGGAAGGTTCATTGTACCAAAAAAAAAAAAAAACATTATATACCCCAAGCCCATTGGCACCATTAAATACCGCGAAGTTATTTTTAAATCAATGCACAAGACGTACTTGATGAGTTCCAAGTAATTCGTTTATTTAGTTTAGGATTTAAAATATAGCTCTCATGACTTTGAGGAATTTACACCCCTTATCATCAGCTATGATTTTTATTACACTTATACGTCTCTTATATTTTTATTTATAAAATTGCTTAACCAAGCTAAAAATATTTTAATTTTTACCTCACATTGGAAGTAACCGTTATTCTTTTTTTTAATGGCACGTTAAATGCTAATCAGATCCTTAATTGAAATTAAGGATCCCCTTATTTACCTAAATACGATATTTTTTCATGCACTTCACTCTTCCATTGTTCGCTAACTTATTTTCGCTATCCGCAAGTGTACGGAGTAGCTATAGGTAGTGGCGAGCAAGGTCGTATTCCACAGAGATTGTAGTTATATTAATTAAGTACTAAAATAATGACGATTAAATATTATCTAGACTAGTGAATTGAATGATGATTATAAACTAAGAATTAAACTAGAAACTAATTTATCTAAAAAAATAAAAATAAAATAAGATACAAAAGAGAGATTCTAGGTTATGCTTTCCTCGGAATTAATTCATGAAATGTTTATATTCAAACAAACCTTATTTAATTTTACCAATCGTAGAGATAATCGCTAAATTGATTTCAAACTTTTCTCTCGAACAAGTTAAATCGTAGATATTAATTGTTATCTATCTCCTCTCGGTCTCAAGATGAACAACTAACTCCCATAAGTTCCTAGGATTTTCGTTCTCTCGCAAGATCCTATCAATCTCTCGGTCTGTTTATTCTCTTACGTTATAAATCTCCCAGTTCTAGCAATCAATTATCTCCTATCGGTCTCAAATCGATCACAAATGTGCATTCATAGTGGCCATCTACTCACACAATAATAATAAGCAAAAGAAATTTATAAACGAAAGATAAACCGGAATGAAAGCAATAAAAACTATATCATAAATCAATCCGAGTACTAACAAATCCTAGAATCTAATATAAATCTAGCCTAGAAACATGATTTCAAAATAAGAAAAATAAATATAAAACATTGAGTTCGAAAGAGGAAAAGAAAAAGAAAGAAAAAGCTTATTCGGCTCCGTCGATCCTTTCTTTCCAGCTTTCTCCCTCGTCTTGCTCGTGTTTCTAGCCTCCAAGAGTCTGCAAAGATGTGAAAATTATGTTCAAGACTCCTAAAAAACGTGTCCAAGGGTTGTATATATAATTGAGGTCGAGTCCTAGTCGAAATAGGTCGAAAATACCGAAAAAATAGGAAAAACGCGTAAATTCGGATTGTGTCGCACCCAGGGTCACACGACTCGTGTCATAAGCCACACGAGTCGTGTGGAAAAGTCGAGAGCAGGTTTCATGACCCGTCAGAGCAACACGAGCCGTGTCTCGGGCTCACACGCCCGTGTGTACCTGGGCACCAAAAACAGCTCGTAATCTTCACTTTTAGCTCGTATATATGCTCTTGGTCGGTTTTCCGGCGTCTCAGGTAATTCAGGTGACTTCCAGTGGCCTCCCAGGTATCCCGAATGGCGGATTCCGGCGAGTCCGTCCATCTCCGGCGTGGATTTGGCGTCACAAGAGTTTTCAGGTGGTCTGGTCGGAGCTCCGGCGAAACTATGGCGGAGGCTGTCGGCGAGGTGGTCGTAAAGGAGAGAGATGTGTGCAGAAGTGGTGAAACGTCAGGTGACGAGCTTCTCGAAGCTTCAATGGCTGCCATGGACACACTCACATCTCACGTAAAGGAGAGAGATGTGGGCAGAAGTGGTGAAACGTCAGGTGACGAGCTTCTCGAAGCTTCAATGGCTGCCATGGACACACTCACATCTCACGTACGTAGATGATGAGGAAGAAGGTGATTCCATCTTTAATAATAATTGAAATGACTAACATGCCCTCACTTAATTGTCACTTGGGCTGAATGTGTATGGGCCAAAGTTAGGCTTTGCTGGGCTGATTTTATGATATGAAAGTTGGGCCAACAATAGATATGGGGCTGCCACCAGCAAGTCTTGTACTTGGACCAGTTTCAATTCACGGTTTGCACTCCTTTTATGTCCGTCTCACGTCGTTTTCGACTCCAAACATTATTTCAACCTCATTGCCTGTTAAAACTCAAATAAAACACCTTCGTCATAGCTTAATAATATTAATTAATTAAATAATTAATTAAACAATAATTAATTGTATAATAATTAGTTATATATCAAACTACGACGAAACAGACACGAAAATCACTACAAAATGCACGTAAATATGACGTATGTCATCCATCTCCAACCGTCGCTTCAAATCTGACTTCTCGCAAGTCGGCACCCCCAACCTCAACATCTTTTGCAGCTTTAGATTCGCTTGCGACAAGCAATATCCTTGGCCGCCATTAACGATGTCGTCAGCCACCGCCGAGGTAGGAACGCCGCCATGAATGATGTCGTCAGCCATCGTCGAGTTTCCTCAATGGCACGACTTGCTCTGAATTTTGGGATCTATTCAAAATCATGTGCGATGGCACTTTTGTTTACCATATTTAGCCAATAGGTTCATCATTATGTACTCTTGCGTTGCCCTCAAATGTTCAACACCTTGGGCATTTTTATTTATTTTTCCCACCATTTATCCTTATTTCCTGGTTGTTGATTTGAAAAATAAGTAGCATTACATATGGCTTTTGAAAAAAAAAAAAGAAAAGAAAAGAAAAGAAAAGGATGAGCCCTTATTTTGCATATTCGATTTTTTTCTATCGATTATTTTTTTTTTCAAGAAATCGAGTCGAATTTAGGAGTGGAGCTCGGGAAGGTGAAGAGGACGATGTTCGCCGACGGGGAGATTTACTTCCAATTGGAGGAGAGCGTGAGGGTCTGTGACGTTTACTTTTTGTCGGAATTTAGATATCATATAAAGCTTAGCAAATTGTTCGTTATATGTTTCGGTATATGTAGCGTGTATAGTCCATTATATGTACATCTTAGAGATGTGTACAATTATTATACACCTTAGTTTATGTTTGGTATATTAGTTATGTACAAATTATTTTGTGAATGAACTTTTTTTTTTCTGCTTTCAATATATTCTGGTATATTAGAAGATTTTTTTGTTGAAAACAACAAATATATCATTAATAAAAAACTATCAATTCACGTACATTTCAATGAACGTTAAACTTAAAAAAAAAACAAGAAGACATAAAATTTTGACGAAAGGCATGTTTTTCATTGCAACATATACTGAATATATACTAACATAAACGCAACATATACCGACCTGGACAGCCGCGTGAATTAGAAAACATAATTTTTTATGGAAGACATGTTTTTCATTGCAACATATACTGAATATATACTAACATAAACGCAATATATACCGGCCACGTGAATTAAGGAATTCTAGTTGCGCACATATACTGAATATATACTAACATAAACTCAATATATACCACCTGAGAACTACGTGAATTAAGGAATTCCAGTTGCGCACATATACTGAATATATACTAACATAAACTCAATATATACTACCTGAGAGCTGCGTGAATTAAAGAATTCCAGTTGCGGGAATTAAGGAATTAAATGAGTAAATCACGCCACCAAAGGATAACTGATATGGATAGAGGACGTTACAAAAAGTAACTGATATTTAGGCAATCACGTAAATAAAATAGCTTGATTAGGTATATATCCTATTAATTGTTCTAGGAAGGTAAAATTGAAAATTCTTTTATTTCACTAGTAAAGTGCACGTGCATCGCACGTGGTGGCGAGTGGTTTTGCCGATTAAATATCGTAAAATAAATTAATTAATTTATTAAACATATCATTGCAAGAATGAAGTAAATATAGAACAAATGAGCTTACAATAGTTTTTTTAATGACATATTGATGTCCTAATATAAAAAGAATGAAATGACATATTACAATCCCAACAAAAAAAGTCCCTAATGGAAAAAAAACAGTAAATAACTAAATAAAAAGAGAGATTTCTTTTCTTTCATTTTGGTTTTGACGTTTTCATAAGAAACGCTCATACTCGTTGGAGCCCAGTACATCAATAGTATTGCGAAATTCTTTTTAATTCATTTGACAAACGTCTACTTTATTCAAATACTTACAAATATTCTGGCCAAATCAAACTTCATGATTGTATGATCTTTATAAGATATTTCTACTGACAGTTCATGAATATCTTTGTAAAATAACCAACCGTATCATTAAATTGTTGAACTTTTTTTTTTTTTATCATTTTATAAACTACTCCATTACTATGTCCATATATATAGACAAATTGGTACCTATCCCATGGAGACATTGCCCCACGGAGTGAAAATGAATTTTATCTCCAAATAAAAGTTAACTTTTAAAATCTTGGTTACATGTACTTCTCTTGAGACGCTAAATTACTTTTTTAAATCACCACATTACATGAAAGTACGTACTGTAAAGTAATTGCACATATGTTCAAGCAAATACACAATGAGATTGTAAATAATCCTATAAAAAGAGGACAATTTCATTCAATCATTTAAAAATGTTTTGATCAAGCTTCGACATTTTTTTTTCCAATGTTATTTATTTGAAAGACAAACGAACTATATAATTTACTTTTTGCAGATAATTGATTATCTTAGTCGTTGCAATGATTTTAGCGTTGTTTATCATAATATCTTTTACATTCATTCAAATTTGCAATACTTATGTGCGTAATAACTTTTTTGATGTCGTTATTGTCCAATTTATTTGAATCATACATAATGCTTCGAAAATTCAAGATAAAGATCCTTTCTTGGACAAAAAAATAAAAAAATAAACAATGAGACAATATTAAGAAACATATCATTTGTTAAATATTTGAGAAGAGAAGAATTATAATTCTATTATATTATGATAGTCTTAGTCGCTCTGTGAACTTTATTATTACGAAGTTATTATAAAAATTTATGTTATGTCTTACAAAATTTTTATTATTTTTACTATATTTAAAATTCTTGATAATATAGGATCATTATTTATGAGAACTAATTTCTTACATAGTTCATATATTTAGACGCTAGCAAAAAAAATTAGTAATTTTAAAAGACTTTGTTTCTAGATATTGGTATTCATATTTTTCTAAGAAAAATCAAATTTTTTCTTTTCCCATTGAATTACTATTTCATTTTATTTCTTTCTTATTCAATTCACAAATAATATTTATTTGTTAAAAGAATTAGAGCATATTTATATATATTGCGTCTACATATAATGACGTTGTAATCAGAATATCTTATTTATTAGGCTACAACAAATATAATGAATTACGATAGATACTATTTAATATTACTTATTTATTTAGTTATAATAATAATATGTTTGACAAAAATGTACATTTATACTGGTTAGAACATTAAAAAGTTTAGGATTTTTTCATTGTTTGATAAAATATTAAGTAATTAGCTCATTTTCGTACTAATTGAACATATATGTTAACTATTATGGTGTTCCTTTCATGCAGTTATTAAATAATTGTTTAAAATATAACTTATTTATTTCTCCTTTAAATTCACATAGCTAACGTTGGTAATAGTTGTAAGTTTACATCCATTTTGTATGTTTTTTTTTCCTATTTGTATGAATATTTCAAATTTATGTAAGCAAAATATAACACAAGTTTATCTTATGTTTTTTTTTCATACTTAATAAAATTTGTTTAACATGGATTTATAATTTATTTTATAAGATACTTTTAGGTCCATTTATTATTGTCAATTAGTAATGATATATATGTATATATATTATTTTATATCGATAGAAATAAGTATATATTTTTTATTTTATTTACAACACATTGGTCAAATTAAACATCATTTGAAAGAAATGATGTGATATATTACGTATAAAAAGGGTAACAAATAAAAAAATATTAAGTATTTCAAATTTGAAAATTTTAATGGTAGACAGTAATTAAATTTGTAGCTGAAAAGAATTAATATTGCCTAGTCTTACATTTTTATTATGTAGAACATCATTCTTACCACTTGTTTAGTTACTATAATACTAATAAAATAATTAAAGACTTTTCAACGTTGATGTATCTTGTTTTTTTTTGAAAAAAATTACTAATTATCATAAATTAAATGAAAATTACATTAAATGTATTATATTTTCTATCATTATTAAAAATTTTCATAATAATTAGTTGCACGTAATATTATATAATGTAAATTTTTTTTATTGATTTAAAGCCTTATTTTTACTACAAGAAAAATGATGAAATTTTAACAAAAATATATTACAATCGAATTTCAACGACAATCTAACGAATATTTCAATGTTATTACTCCCTTTTGAATTTTCCAATAAAAAGTTTCTAACAAATATTTCAATGGCCAGATCCATGTTTATAGGCCCGACACAGACTCTCGTCCCAAAACATCTAGGATATATTATGTAACAACAATTGTTGGAATATTTTTCATAATTTTAATCATGTCCCCTATTTTGAAAATAAAATTAAAAGAAAGAAAATATATAATGAATTACTTTACGAATCAACCAATTATAATTTAATCCAACTCATAACTTTATTAAAGTTTTATAACATAATCCCGGTATCACAATTAAAGAAAATATTATAAAATCTCAAAATTACAAATTTACCCTCTAATTCTACTTTTTATTCTTGATGATAACTCTATTCTCTTTTTTGCAACATAATGTTTTCTCTAACTTCAAAATATATTTTTTACATCTTTTTTAACTAATGTATGTGGAATTCTAGCTATATGTTCATAATTTATAAATTCATCAATTACACAGTCGAGTTGAGCGAACTATACTACAATATAAATTTTTTGTTCATAAAAATTTTAAAAAATATACTATTTTCAGTGATTTTCTTATGTTGTTACAAACATTATACTTTTTTTTTCTTAAATACTTTTTAACTTATTGTGATTGTATTGTTGTGTTAAAACTTAAAAATATATTACAAATAAGAAAGATGAATTAAGAAATTATAATTTATAAATTATAATGACATTATATTATTTTGATGGTATACTTTTTCTATGAACTAAATATTTCCCAAATATTAATTTATTTTGGATATGCCACTACAATTAATTTTTTAATGGAACTTACATTGATTTGTTTACAATTCCAATGATAGTTTTATCAGGTTGAAATACGGTCTAACAAAAAAATACGGAAATTCACATAATAATAAATAATGGTAATTGGAATCATTAAAATCCATTAAAATTTCAATGTAATTTAATTTGATATTTGCTGAAATATCCAATGAAAGTTATAACAATGAAATATCCGTTGAAATTTTCAGCGAAATACTTGCCTTCAGATTTTCCATTGCAATATAGTAGTTTTTTTGTATTTCTTTTAAAATATTAATATTTTTATGTAGTAGTTTTTTTTAGTCCAAAAATCTTTTTTCAAAAATCACTCATTATTTTATCTCTAGATTACTCATTAATTTCTCAGTTTAGTTAAATTTCTTACATATTAATTATTAAATAATGAAAATAATTATTATTTTATATATGTAATATGATATTTATATATTATGTTCCAAAAATTATAGCAAATAAAAAGTTAAAAATTAGAACAATCAATTTTATTTTTTAAAAAAAAGTTTAACAATTCTAACCTACATGGATTAAAATACAAATAACTATTGTCTATCACCTAAAACTTACACATATAAGTAATAAGCACAAAAAATATATAAGCGTTTCATAACTCAACTCATTTACATCGATAAGTACAAGTTTTAAAAGTTTATATTTACTTTTATTAATTATGAAATTTTTATTTATTACCTTTTTCATATTTATTAGTAAATGTTACGATTTAAAATTTAATGGCAATTGGAATCACTAAATACACTAAAATTTCAATGATAACATATAAAAAATTAAATGCGAAGACTTATTGCCAAATAGATGAATGTTGAATGCTTAAGATATCTTTTATATTTGATATATTTATAATAGTAAAACTATAATTACAATGATTAGTAAAAGAGAAAGTAAAATTTATTGTAAAATTAGAAGTATGCATAATAACAAATAAAATAAGTTAACTAAAAGTAATTGAACGCAACTGTCAAATAAATTATAAAATATGTTAACTTTTATTAGTTAAGAATATAAAATAAGATGAGTATTACTATATTACTAATTTGCCATTAAAAATATACCAAAGTAAGGGTGTTTTAGATAATTTATTATTTTTACAAAATCACTTGTCCTTTTATAACAGTATAGATATAGATATAGATATAGATATAGATATAGATAGATAGATAGATATAGATAGATAGACGTAGTATGTGTAAAAATTTCCTCTTTACTTTCAAGCTAGCTAGCTAGCTGCCTGGTTTATTCTTTGTTGGGCTTCAACTCATTTCTCATAGCCTGGAACACTCAGGCCCTGAGTTTTTGTACGCTATTTTCTGTATAGAATGGCCCAAATGTCTATGTGAATGCTGATCCGAAAGATTTTCGACACTCTCCAGCCTGATTTATTTTTTGCATTGGCTCGACAGGTGTTGACATTTTGACAGAAATGTCAAAATTTATTCAGAAATTTGTAATTTGTGATATGATGACGAGAACAAAGCGCAAGAACCAATTTCTGGGCTGATTAAATTCAACAAGGAATACAATTGTCATGAACATCTACAAGTAATTTTGGATGTTTTGAGCTTATTAATATATATTTAATTGATTTAGATGATCAAATAAAGAAGAGAGCTATTACTATAGCATCTTCCCTTAGTAAGTACAAACATAATTAGAAAGTTAAGCGTGAATAAAGACATAAGTTGTGTTCAATAATATCAAATTATCTTAAAACTTTTCTTCAAGAAATTTTCGCAAAGGCCTGGTAAAAGTAAAACTGTCACGTTGAGTTTGAAAATTTTTAGTAAGAATAAGAGAAGTCTTGGCATAGCTGAATATTGAAGCATTTATGTCTTCCATGCGATGCATGCTGATGAATGCATGTTTGTTATAATTGTGTATCATCTTTTATGGTGACTAAATAACTTCACCAATCGTAGTCCTAATTAAATTATTTTTCATATGCAGCAACCATTTAAGAACTTAAATAAAATTCCTTAAAGAATTAAAATAAACATGTTTGAACAACATTACTTTGTCTTTCTAATATATATATCATCAAGACATTCCAACTCTGAATTAATTGATTATTACATGATTCAAATCATCCACGAGGAATTTCGAGTTTCACTAGAAATGATAATCTTACACAAGCTTAATTAAATACTGATATGATGATATACTATATTGCACCACATGTATATATAACTATATATATATATGATGATTGACTAATTTTATTTAACTTTTGCCCCAGCAAAATATGCCAAGGTTCCGATTGCGGCAGCATTGACGTACGTGGCGGGTTCCGTCTGAACGTAATTATTGCGGTCATCATTGAAGTGGTCATTCGCGTCGGGACCTCCAACAATGGCACCGGTCAATTCGTTTGGGTTTGGATTTGGGGAATCCTTATACTGAAATCCCTCATTACATTGGATTTTGGTTGGATGACCACGAGTCGATGGCAAAGACGATCCTCTGTGGTGAATTTTCCTTGGAAAATTCGGCCCGTACCCCACCATGTATGACATTCTCATTGGATTGTCCCCTAAGATGTAGTCAATCTGGAATGACATATATATACACAAATTAGTTAATTGAATTGATCCATGACTTGAGTTGACTAAAATCTATATATATATATATAAGACAAAAAACAAGTACAGCAAGAATATATATATACTTGTTTTCTGGCTAGGTCCCGCAGAAGAGTCGCGGTGACCGTTTGACCGGCGCAGTTGAAATGGGTGTGCGGGCGTGTGGCCGACATGTATTTCGCGTATGTTGTAACCAATGCTGTAATGGCTGTTACATATTGGAGATTGGTTCCATCCAGTTTGTACATTAAGCCCCCTGCATGTATGCATTTTAATTTCCAGGTAATTATATATGTACAATATTGTATTTAATAAGTAACACTACTACATAATAATTAATGAATTAATATATATATTCTACTTAAATAATTTCCCACCTGGTGTGTAGTGTGTGGACGAACCAGGCAGTATTTGGCAAATGAACTCTTGCGCTTTTGCATTCATCGCGTCGAATTTGGGGTCCTTGTTCACCACACTACGCTGCAAATCAAATTAAAAGTGAAGATGGAATGAAACTAATGTGAATTATGAGAGAAAATTAATTTAATTATTGGTGTAATTAATTAATGTGAAAATTAATGGTACGAACCCTTGCTAGCAGAACATAAGTACCGGCGAATTTGTTGTCCCAGCTGAAAACGTTGGGACTGTCGTTGATGTTGAATGATTCATACATTTTCAGATACTTATCATCCTTAGTTGCTCTGTACAGCCATGCTGCTCCCCAACCCAACTCATCCTGCATGCAACAAAATAAGTAGGTACAAATATAATAATAATAATAATAATAATCTGATGGAATAATTAATATTTAATACAAGTAGAGTAGAGCTAGCTAGCTAGTACATAAACATAATGAATGAATTAATTAATTACCAAGTATCCCGAGTAAGAGCAATAAAAGGGGCACACGTATTGTGGGAGGGAGTCGCTATACTTGCCACGGTACTTGTTGGCAAAATCCATCACTCTTTCGGCAGTTTCCAGAAGCTTGGTGCTGTAGCTGGGGTCGACTTTCCGAAAGACGATGGAAGCTGCGGCCAGGGCGGCGGCCGTCTCGCCGGCCACGTCAGAGCCCGGTTTGCTTGGGGACACGCTGTAGGCAGTCCTGTCGGTGTCCATGTCCTCGGGCCTCTCCCAGCATTGGTGGTCTCGGTTGGGGTCCCCGACTCCGGCGAATAGCTCTTCGGGCCTGGCGTTGGCGCACTTAAGGAGGTAGTCGGTGGCCCAGCGGACGGCAACTCTTGCGGGGACCAGCTGGGGGCCCAGGCGCTTGCCGTAGTCGATGACGCTCCAGGAGAGCATGGTGGCGGTGAAGGCCATGGGGAGGTTGAATTTGACGTTGTCCCCCGCGTCGTAATATCCGCCCATCAGGTTCACGTTTTGCAATGCGCCGTCCCTTAGTCCGGAATCGCCTCGCCAGGTGAGGTCTTGATGCACGCCCTTGAGGCTGCCGGACCTCTGCCCTTGGAAGAACAAAAGGGCTTTCTCCAGGGCGCCACGGTAGTCGTGGGCCCCGTCCACGGATAAGAAGAGCATGGTGATGGTGATGGTGATGGTGATGATGATGAGTGGAAAATATTGTGCAGCCATGACCATGAGATTAATTAATGTACATGTATGAATAAAAATGATCATTAGAAGGGGTTTATATAGTTAGCTAATTAGCATGCTTAAATCACAAGTTTTGCAACGTCAACGTTGATTAGATTTTATGTTTCTTTTTTCGTTTCTACTTTGTACCTAAAATTCTAATGTATTGACTTTGATGGGTAGGGAAATTATCAAATTGTTTTGAAATTATTATTAGCTTGGATTTCATTTCAAATACATGGACTTCTAGCTCGAAATTAATAATGGTTTGTCTAAATTTAAATATACTATATACATACCACAATAATTTTTCATTCTCATGTGTCAAATTAATAACATTCTAAAGACATTCTTTGACATCTATATTTATTAGATATATATAATAATAGCAATAATTTTATCTAAAAATTAAAATTAAAACTATCTACCAATTCTAATTGAAAAATAATATTATTTTATTAGTTAAATAAATTTATTTATGAGTTAGAAAAATTACTATAACATATGACAAGCGAGTATTGTAGACGATCAAAATGGTGACAAATATCAAGTTTCATGTCATAGTCAATTTAATAATTTTCTACTTATTAGAAAATTAATCAAATTTTTAATTCCTAAATTAAATAGTTAATTAATTGATTACTTAATATATATTGTTGGCCAATTAAAAGAATGCCACGTGTATATTTTTAAGGCCAATTAAAGAATGTCACATGTCATTTTCTTGGAGAGTAAAATAAATAATTATTTCTTTTAATAATTATTAAAGAGATAAATATTCATTGACCAATCAAATTGAAGTCTTCTTTTCCAAGACTCCATCTCCTAATTATCTCTTTAAATAATTATTAATAAATAAATATTAGAAATTATGGACCAATCAAATTGAAGTCTTCTTTTCCAAGACCCCCTCTCCTAACACCTATAAATAGGGGCTCTCCCTAAGATCAAAAAACACAATTCATATTCATAATTCAAGTTTCAAATTCAAGAGCTCTAGAGAATTCTCTCAACGAGATTCAAGTGTTCTTGAAGATCCAAAGGCGTTCTTGAAGATCCAAATGAAGATTCAAGCAGTTCAAGCCCAATACCGTCGTTCAATCCGGAAACAAGCTGTCAAGCCTCCGAATTACGTTATTAAAGTCAAGACCGGCGTAGAGAAGATCCAAAATCAATTTTGAGGTGAAGACCAAGGTGGTGTAGACTATTATTATTATTATTATTATTATTATTATTAGATATCTTGGAGAATAAGTTAGAATTAAATATGATTATAAGAGATCTTGTCTTGTTGGACAAGTTGGGAATAGGGTTTAGGATCCTTATTTAAAGGACTCCATATCTATTGTTTATTCAGTTGAAGTTGATTATGAATAAGAATATGAAATGATTGTGTGTTTTACGAGAGAGTATCTCGTTTATCCTTCTCATTCGTATGCTTCCCTACATCACAAGGACTCGTGTTCTTCACGTTCTTGGGAAATCAAGACGTTCGATTCGAGATTAAACTGTCATGCCCTCGAAGAAACGTTATTTAAATCCAAATTCAAGACCGGCGGAGATCAAACCGAAGATCGTTCTTGAAGAAATTAATCAGATGAATAATAGAGATTTAGAATCCACTATATTTCATTTGATCCGTTGAAAATCCATTGTACGAATATCTCGTGTTTATTAAATCAATAAAACGAAAATTTGCGCTACAAGTATATATCATTGGTGACATATGACGTCATTGTTAATTAAAACAATAATAATAATAATAAAATAAAAAGTTCTATCATTATTTTTAAAATTGTTACGGATGTATTTCTTAATTAACACTTCATATTGCTACTGATCTATATCTAGATATATTATTTTTTGAAAAATTCAATGAAGGAGGCTCCTAACGATACCTCAGGAATTGCAACATCTGAAATTTCGTGGTTGGGATAAATTTAATTTTTTTCACAAAATGAAAATGTCCCAATATTAAAATCACGACCATCTGCTCTATTAAAATATTTATTGGCGCGAGGGATATATTTTTTTGTAGACAAATTAGCACGAGAAATGATGTGCCTTCTTACTGTTGGAAAATTTGAATGAAAGTTGTAACTCATAACTTTTGAAACCGTGTCTTACACTTTTCTTCCAAAACTTGTAACTTGATGTTATTAATGTTGCATCAATGTTGAACTTAAGTTTATTAATGTTAAACTAAATGCATTAGTTACCATATCTTTGTCCTATAAAAAGAGATGGTCTTCATTGTGAAAAAAAAATACACAAGAAAAGAAGAAAAGAAAAACAATATTCCCCATTTGTCTTTAAAGTGGTTTGGTCCAGGCATAATTCCAGTTTGCCGGATTTGTTTCGGTTCTTCCGTTGTATCCTGGGAAACAAATGCTCATACAGGGCGAATCTGTTTTAAGGACACTGTGTTATCACAGGCCTCGGTATTTTTATTTTAGCCATTTTATTTTTATTTTCCCGATAAAGTTCCCTACAATCTTAAAACAGATTCGATTAAAGATGGCTGCTGAACAAAATACTATTGGCGTTGCTAATACTGGTGGTGCTACTACAATTTCTATTTCTCCTTCTGTTAATGTTCCGGTGAATCATGTTGATAAACCGAAAAAATTTGACGGCTTGAATTTCAAGCGTTGGCAGCAAAAGATGCTATTTTATCTCACTACGGTGAACCTTGCGAGGTTCTTGACGGAAAATCCTCCAAAGTTGGGAAAAAATCCGGATATTCAAGCGGTTAGTGCGCTTGATGCATGGAATCATTCAGATTTCTTGTGTAGAAATTATGTAATGAATTGCTTGGCCGATACGCTGTACAACGTGTACAGTTCTATCAAAACAGCGAAGGAGCTGTGGGAGTCTTTGGATAAAAAATACAAAACCGAAGACGCTGGAGCCAAGAAATTTCTTGTAGGCCGGTTTCTGGACTACAAGATGGTTGACTCGAAGACTGTAATCAGTCAAGTGCAAGAGCTTCAAATAATCTTGCATGATATCCATTCCGAGGGAATGGTGGTGAATGAAACTTTCCAGGTGGCTGCCATAATTGCAAAGCTTCCACCGAGCTGTAAAGATTTCAAAAATTATTTATTACATAAGAAAAAGGAGATGACTGTTGAAGAGCTCGTTGTTAGACTTCGAATTGAAGAAGACAACAAGGGCTACGACAACAAACTGGTTAATCCTTCTTGGGCCAGAGCCAATGTTGTAGAGCATGGTGAAAGCTCACGTAAAAATAACAAGAAAAAATATGGCAATACTGGCAAGGCAGTAATGGGGCCAAATAAAAAAAATTTCAAGAAAAATTTTTCTGAAAATTGTTATAATTGTAATAAACCTGGCCATAAGGCATCTGATTGCAAGTTGCCAAAGAAAAATCAAGAAGCCCACATGGTGGAAAACCTGGCCAAAGATGTTGATGAGATGCACCTCGCTGCAGTTATATCCGAGGTGAATCTGGTGGGCTCAAATCCACATGAATGGTGGATTGACACTGGTGCTACCTGACATGTTTGCTCAAACAAGGACTTGTTTAATGTCCTTGACGAGACGGTGGATGGAGAAAAACTCTTCATGGGAAATTCTGCCACGTCTGACATCAAAGGAGTGGGGAAAGTGGTACTGAAAATGACATCTGCAAAAGAGTTGACTCTTAATAATGTTCTTTATGTACCAGAAATTCGTAAGAACCTAGTGTCTGGTTCTTTGTTGATTAAACATGGTTTTCGTGTGGTGTTTGAATCAGATAAGGTCATTTTGACGAAAAATGGAGCATTTGTAGGGAAGGGTTATGAATGTAATGGGCTTTTTAAGCTCAATGTGATGACAATCAATAAAAATGTTAATTCTTCCGTTTATATGCTTGAGTCTTCCATTGTGTGGCATGGTAGACTGGGACATGTCAATTATAATACCCTGCGCAGGTTAATAAAATTGAAAAGCATACCTATGTTCCATATTGATTCAAAACACAAGTGTGAAACTTGTGTTGAAGCGAAATTGACACGATTACCATTTCAAACTATTGAAAAAAATAGTGAACCACTTGATTTAATTCACATTGATGTATATGATTTAAAAGCTGTCACGACACGTGGTGGAAATAAATATTTCATTACTTTTGTAAATGATAGCACTAAATTTTGTTATGTGTCTCTTCTCAAAAGTAAAGATGAAGCTATAGAGAAATTTATTCTCTATAAAAATGAAGTTGAAAATCAACTAAATAAAAAGATTAAGGTGATAAGAAGTGACAGAGGAGGTGAATATGAGTCATCTTTTTGCTGAATTCTGTGCCCAACATGGGATAAGACATGAAATGACAGCACCTTATTCACCGCAACAAAATGAGATTGCGGAAAGAAAAAATCGTACTTTAAAAGAAATGATGAATTCAATGTTGTTAAGTTCTGAACTTTCACAGAACATGTGGGGGGAAGCTGTATTGTCAGCAAATTACCTTTTAAATAAGGTTCTCCGTAAAAAGTTAGACAAAAGTCCATATGAATTATGGCATGGAAGACTACCATCCTACAAATACTTGCGAGTGTGGGGGTGTCTGGCAAAGGTAGCCATACCTACGCCAAAGAAAATAAAGATTGGGCCAAAAACTGTTGATTGTATATTTATCGGATATGCACACAACAGTAGTGCTTATCGTTTTCTTGTACATGAATTCAAAATTGAGGAAATTCATAAGAACACGATACTTGAATCTAGAAATGCTTCATTTTTTGAGCATATATTTACACGTAAGTTTGAAGTGGATTCTAGTTCCACTAAAAGAAATTTAGAAATAATGGAAAAAGATCAAGATGGATATGCTGAGGTAGAACCTCGGAAAAGCAAAAAAGGCAGGATAGAAAAATCTTTTGGTCCAGATTTTCTAACCTATATAGTTGAAAGTGAGCCACAAACCTTTTCAGAAGCAGTAAGTTCTTCTGAAGGACCTCTTTGGAAAGAGGCAATCCAAAGTGAAATTGATTCCATTTTGCAAAATCACACATGGGAGCTAGTGGATCTTCCTCCTGGAAGTAAACCATTGGGCTATAGGTGAATTTCCAAAAGGAAAATGAAAAACCTGATGGAACAATTGATAAGTATAAGGCTAGACTTGTAATTAAAGGTTATAAGCAAAAAGAAGGCCTTGATTACTTTGATACATATTTACCAGTAACAAGGATAACATCCATTAGGGTGATTATTGCAATTGCAGCTTTACGAAATCTTGAAATACATCAAATGGATGTAAAAACAGCTTTTCTAAATGGAGATTTAGAAGAAGAAATTTATATGGAGCAACCTGAAGGGTTCTCTGCTCCCGGGCAAGAGAATAAAGTTTGTAAATTAGTTAAGTCTTTGTATGGCTTAAAACAAGCTCCGAAACAATGGCATGAAAAATTTGATAATGTCATGGTTCAAAGTGGATTTAAAATTAATGAATGTGATAAATGTGTTTATGTTAAAGACACGGAAAAGGGTTATGTAATCCTATGTCTTTACGTAGATGACATGCTTATTGTTGGAAGCAATGATAAAATTATTAAATCCACAAAAAATATGTTAAATTCAAGATTTGACATGAAAGATATGGGTCTAGCTGATGTGATTCTTGGAATTAAAATTCATAGAACATCACAAGGAATTGTTCTGAGTCAGAAACATTATGTAGAGAAAATCCTTGAAAAATTCAACAAGGATGATTCGACTCAGGCTAGAACCCCGATAGATGCAAGTCAACATCTGTCAAAAAATAAAAAGGGAAAGTATTTCTCAAGTCGAATATTCAAGGGTGATAGGAAGTCTGATGTATCTAATGAATTGTACTAGACTAGACATCGCCTTTGTCGTGAGTAAACTGAGTAGATATACAAGTAATCCAGGAGATGAACACTGGAAAGGAATTGTGAGATTACTCAGATACTTGAGATATACTTGTAAATATGGTCTGCACTATTGTAAATATCCATCTGCAATTGAAGGCTATAGTGATGCCAACTGGATATCGGATATGAAGGATTCTAAATCCACTAGTGGATATTTATTCACTTTGGGAGGTGCAGCCATATCTTGGAAATCTTTTAAGCAGACTGTTATTGCCAGATCCACAATGGAGTCCGAATTTATAGCATTGGACAAAAGTGGAGAAGAGGCAGAATGGCTTCGCCATTTCCTAGAAGATATTCCAAAATGGTCAAAGCCAGTGCCAGCAATTTGTATACATTGTGATAGTCAATCTGCTATTGGCAGGGCTCAAAGTAATATGTATAATGGTAAGTCTAGACATATCCGTCGAAGACATAATACCATTAGACAACTACTCTCAACTGGTACTATATCTATTGACTATGTTAAGTCAAAAGATAATCTTGATGATCCGCTAACCAAAGGGTTAGAGAGTTATTTGCTAAATCTTTGAGAGGAATGGGACTTAAGCCTCTAGAAATGAGTTGATACAATGGAAACCCTACCTTGTTGACTGGAGATCCCAAGATCTTGGTTCAAAGGGACAACCTAATTGTAAAAAGACTCTAGTGATCACTGTGGGATATTATCTCATGTCCATTCTTTAAACAGTGATACCCGTGGGGAGTAGGATAAACATTTGGCTTTTAATGATTCTTGTAGGGGAAGGTAGTACGGGTTACTTGTAATTAAGAATCACCTATGTGAGAGAGAAGTGGGGCCGCTTCGAAGAGAATTGTGTGAGGCTCAATTCTTAGACCCTCTTACAGAACCAGGCTATGTCTAGGGCCACTAACGGACATAATAATGAGAACTGAAATATGTTAGGGAGAATCTTGTGTGAAGTATATTTATCGTTTACACAAAAGGCAGAACAGTTCAAAGACATCGCGTCTACTGGTCAGCTAGTAAGTTAATGTGCTTTCACAAGGGAAGGTTCAAAGGGTAACACCTGCCTATCCTATGCAGGTTTCAACTGTCGGACTATAACATTATATTTCCAATTTCATTCATGTGGGGGATTGTTGGAAAATTTGAATGAAAGGTGTAACTCATAACTTTTGAAACCGTGTCTTACACTTTTCTTCCAAAACTTGTAACTTGATGTTATTAATGTTGCATCAATGTTTAACTTAAGTTTATTAATATTAAATTAAATGCATTAGTTACCATATCTTTGTCCTATAAAAAGAGATGGTCTTCATGGTGAAAAAAAAATACACACGAAAGGAAGAAAACAAAAACAATATTCCCCATTTGTCTTTAAAGTGTTTTGGTCCAGGCATAATTTCAGTCTGCCGGATTTGTTTCGGTTCTTCCGTTGTATCTTGGGAAACAGACGCTCATACAGGGCGAATCTGTTTTAAGGACACTGTGTTATCACTGGCCTCGGTATTTTTATTTTAACCATTTTATTTTTATTTTCCCGATAAAGTTCCCTACACTTACTTCTTTTCGGGCATGGATCCATGGATATCCGACAACAATTATATTCTCTGACCCGCATTATTCAGGCATGCATGGCCAAATATACAAGCGACTAATATAGTTTAATTTACGTTGCCTTCCAAAGTCAACTCTTATAGTTGAAATTTTATCACAATTTCATATCTTAATGCTCGTTTTTAAAAATCTTAATTTATATAAGGCAGACTAGTGAGAATTTTACGACAAGACTAGGAATCAATCCAGGCCAAGCATAAAATCGAATAAGTTAATTGAATGGCTGATAATACGCCAATAAAAGTACATGAAAATGAAATAGATGTAATTCAACTTTAAAGTAGTAATGTATTGAACTAGTGTCAGAAAACATTACATTTTATTTTACTTTTATTTTCAAATGAAAAGATTACTCCTGAGCCACGGCTATCTATTGCATGGCTCGGACTCGTTGATTCAATAGGTATTGGATCACGACATATTTATTTGTGACTCGGCTGTTAGTCAAAATCTGGAGAAATTTGAACCGTTCTGGTTCTAATGATTAATTGTAAACCCAATTAAAGGAGTAATTACATATTAATGATGATTAACAGTAAGTTGTGTTGCTTGTAAGTAAATTAAATGTGGCTGAGATTATGGTACTGGTCTGGTGTGCTGGGGCCATAAGTTGACTAATCCCATCTCAGGCCAAAANCAAAAAAAAAAAAAAAGAATATTAATATTACCCCGTTACGAATGCTACTATTATTATATACATTGTCACATACGGTTTGTCCTAAAATCAAATCCCTAAAATTAAATTTAAAATGATATGTTTGAAAAGTATTGCTACATATGTGCATGCACATTATACAAGTGTTGTCCTGGAATTCTCGGATATAATATCAATTCAGGCTTCTCTTTCTGCTGGTCCAACGAACCTATTAAAAAGAATGGGCCAACCCATGGAGCCTAAATAAAATTTATGAAGTGATCCACTTGAGGACCAAATCATATGGGCCAACAGTTAGAGTAGGTTGGACTTGAACCAATCGGAATACACACATTGTTGTACTAAAGGACCCGGCCCACGTTAGTGCCACGTTCTTGGGGATTACTCTTTCAGTGTTGTTTTGGCAAATTTTTTCCTGTTTATTATTCTAGTTTTCAATTTAAAAAGAAACGCCTTAGACTTCCCTTACCACATTAGCAGCCAAATGTAGCCCCCAAAAGCAGTAAAATTCCACTAGAGGTGACTATTAAAACGGTGAATACTTTAATACATATGGTATGACCACCCACTAGTATTTAGCACCAATCTGTTTTTTGCCTATTCTTCAGCACACACACATCTCTAGTACAGATGATCATACATATCTACACTTAAACATAATTCCTAACCCTTTGCATCATCACATCCTTGTCAATCTAAAAGTTATATATCCCCAGCAAAGTAAGCCAGGGTTCCAACTATAGCAGCATTGACATAAGTGGCCGGCTCCGAGTGACTGTAATCCGTCCTCTCGTCGGCAAAAAAATCATTCCGGTTAGGACCTCCCACAATTGCACCGGTCAATATGTTGGGGTTGGGATTTGGTGTGAAGAAAAACGATTTACCGCCATCACATCCGTACGACTGATGATGGACACTAACCGAGGGCACAGAGGAGCCTCTGTGGTGAATCCTCTTGGGATAATTTGTGCCGTAATCGACCATGTACGACATTTTCATTGGGTTGTCCCCTAATATGTAGTCCACCTGCCATCATCATTGTTAACATAAATGGACCAATTCAAATACACAGTTTGTGTGAGTTTAAATATATATATACCTGTTTTCTAGCTAGGCTACGTAGCGTTTTTGATGTGATGGGTATATTTCCGCATTTGAAAATATAGTTTGAGGTCGCCATGTACTTAGCGTATGTTGTCAGCAAGAATGTAATTGACGTCACGTACTGGAGATTGCTTTGGTCCATTTTATACATCAAACCTCCTGCATTGTCAAACAAGTTAAGCAAGAATAGTTTTACGAAAAAATAAAAAATACTAGTATTTCAACTTTCAACTCTAACCTGGCGTGTACTGCGTGCTCGAGGATGGGGAGTAAGTGTTGGGCAATATTTTGCACACAAAGTCTTCGGCTCGTTGCCTGAACGCCTGAAAGTTATGGTCATTGTTCACCAGACTTCTCTGCACAAAACTCATTCAAACAAATAAATATATCTCTGATTTGATAAATTCCAAAAATAAAAATATTGCCAAAATCTGGAAATGCTCTTACCCTTGATAGAAGAACATATGCTCCTGCATATTTGTTGTCCCAGCTGAAAATGTCGGGCGAATCGCTAGCTCCTAACGACGCAATGAAATTCAGATAGTAAACCTGATTAGTAGCCCTGAACAGCCACGCTGCCCCCCACAACAGCTCATCCTACAAAATCAAACCCGATAACGAATCTCTACAAATTAATCCCAAATTCGAAAAAAAAAATGAAATAAAATAAAAATAACCTTGTAACCCGAGTAGGAGCAATAGTAGGGGCACACTTTGGAACTTAGCGAGTCGCTGTACGAGCCCTGATGGGTCATCGCGAACCGCATCACATCCTGCGCGGTACTCAAAAGCAACTTACTGTAAGTCGGGTCCGTTTTTCGGAAGACAATCGAGGCTGCCGCCAAGGCAGCCGCCGTCTCGCCGGCCACATCAGATCCCGGATTGGCGGCCGACACGTAATACGCTGACCTGTCCGTGTCCATGTCCTCCGGCCTCTCCCAACAGGCGTGGTCCAAGACCGGGTCCCCGACCCCAACGTACAGCCTGCCAGGTGTCGCACGCGCGCACTTGAGCAGATAGTCCGTACCCCACCGGATCGCAGCCCGCGTGCTCTGCAGCTGTGGGCCCAGCTTCTTGCCGTACTCGATCGCCCCCCACGACAGCATCGTTGTCGTGAAAGCCATCGGGAAGTTGAACTTCAAGTTATCGCCCGCGTCATAGTACCCTCCCGTCAAGTCCACCTGTCCAACCNAAAAAACACCATTCGAAATCAAATAAATGTGTGTTCGTGTGTGTGTGTTAGATAATCATTGAACTAATTTATTGTACGCCGGCAGAGCGGCCGTCTGAAAGTCCGGAATTGGCCCTCCAAGTGATCTCTTGCCGGGGGAGGCGACCGGACCTCTGGCCTTGGAAGAATATAATCGATTTCATGAGGGCATCACGGTAATTGTGGCTACCGTCCACGTTGCCGGAGTTACAACAGAAGAAGAGGAAGAAGAATGTGAGGTGGAGAGAGTGAAAGAGTTTAGAACAAGAAGTAGCCATTGTACTTGATGAGATTGGGTCAGCGAGTACAAAGGCTCCTCAACTAAATTTTGCTCTGTTTTTCAGTTTGTGCACTCAGTTAATTACGTGCATGGGATTTATAAAAGAGGCAATAGCGTTAATTTAGGCTTTTTTAATTAGTCAATCAACTGTTGATTATTCAAATCAGCCATCAAATTTTTTTCCAAGTCAAAACGAATCGTATATTGAAAATCTTGTTTTGCTTTGTATTTCCATTTGCTATATATAGAGAATAACGTATTATCTAATAATATCACTATCCCTGAATGTGTAAATATTTTTGACTGGATATTATCTAATAATATCCATTAGCCATATATAGAGACTATCGTATTATCTAATAGTGAATGTGTAAATATTTTTGACTGGTATTATCTAATAATATCCATTTGCCATGTATAGAGAATATCATATCATCTAATAGAGAAAATATAGAGAATATCTTATTTGTGACTTGGTTAGGCCTCAGTCCTCTTTCAACATATATTCATACATTTAAAACTAAATGTTATATTCGAAAAAATAGTACAACCGAAAGTACGACATTAATTTATAACATAGATATGTATTTTTGTTTAAAAAAAATATGATGAATAATAGTTATAATAATTCTTTACATGTCAACCAAATACAAAGTACAACGTAGGTAACTGACTAAAATGGTGAACGTACCAATTATTGAGCAAGAAATCTGTTTAACTCATTTTACAGTCATACTGAATCTGTTGACTAAAGTAGTACTTAATTTGACTCTTTTTTCCGAGTTGGTCAATATTTACTGAATCCAATCAAAGGAAATTAATTATAAGTAATAGGATTTGAATTCTGGTAATGTTACGGTTTTCAAAGGATTGTTATTGTTATACCATGACAATAACTAAATTTAATGATTATGTATGTGCGTGTATCAAAAAGGTAAAAAAAATTGATTTGGTGGTGATACAAACTAAATTATGTGTGTTTTGAAAATGTCTCGAATAATATAATTGTAAATTAGGTCCATGCCCGAAAAGGGGGGTTAGAAGGGACATCATTTCTTGGACAACACCATATATCACGCCGATAAAAATAAAATCACATGTCATGAATAAGCGGCGCCAAAATTTATCTTTGTTCATATGTAGTGGGGTACTTGTGATTCTTAAAAATATTTTTATATAATTTTTTTAAAACTCATGAAATAGTGTCAAAAGAAATATTTGGAGAACCGTTTCATCCCTTAATCGTGATGATTTTGGAATTCTCATTCACCAAAATATATAATCAATATTACATGATGTATAAGGAAACTAACTAATCACAAGATACTAACTATCCCTAATATATCGCCTCAAAATAATACACAAGATATGCTACATAAATATATATACAGTAACAAATAGCACTATTGATTAAAACATCTATTGATTTTTGATAGCTTATATAGGTTCATTGGGATACTGTTTTTTTACTTTTAGAGACCATGTTATAATTATGGGCCAGTGATGGAGACGAGACCGCCATCACTTTTCTGGACAGATATGATCGGCTCCAGGTTAGCTAGCTTATTTACAGTCTACCTTTTATAATGTTATTATTATTAGGACTATTAAAATAAATATCTTGCATCTGTTAGGCAAGACACTTGGTAAAATAGGACTCTTATTTTCATTTAATAATCCGTGGCTTGTACGGGAAAGGAGATTATTAAGTTTTTATCAGATTTATGAGTTTTATGTCGAGAGAGCATCTCGTATTCATTCCCATTCGTATCACGTTCTACATCAGTTGGTATCCAGAGACCAGCGACGATCCACGATGCCGCCCAAGAGAGATAACGCCGTTGACGATCGTTTCCAGCGAGTGGAAGAGCGATTCCAAGGGATGGACGACCGATTCACGGACCTTTCGACGGGAATCGAGGAATTGCGCGTGGCGATGCGAACCATGATGGAGGACTGTACGAGCCGCGACAACGGTGGCCGGGCCGTGCGCGGTGGGCTTCACGGAGGACGGGGACGAGGCTTTGGCGGGGCGCCCCGCCAGCGTTCACCGCCGTTTCCGTCCGGTGACGAAGAGGACGAGGAGACCGTGAGCGTCGACAATCCCTTTCGCGGCTGAGCAACGGCAGCGACCCGCAGGCGACAACTTCCATAGATGGGGAGGCGGGTTCAGGCGGCGCGATGCTAGGGTTTATCGCAGGGGAGATTTTGGAGATGCTGACGACAAGATGGGGTACAGGGACGGAGAAGGTGACTTCGAATCCGACACCGACGATGACGACTTTTACCGACGTGACGGGGGAGGTCGCGCAGATAACCGACAGCGGCGGCAAGGCTTCGTCGATCGGGAGTTTTGAGCGTGTTGGACAGTACCGACGTGACAGCAGGCGCCCGATAAAAGGGGGCGATGAGTCGCGTTGGGAGCAGGGGTTTCGTGTGGATATTCCGGAGTTTGCAGGCGGTGTTGATGGCTCGGAATTTCTTGACTGGTGGGCTTCGGTTGAAGTGGTTCTCAAGTTTAAGGGGGTGCCAGATGATAGGCGGGTTGAGTTGATCGCCACTCGTTTTCGGGGAAGGGCAGCGACGTGGTGGATGCAACTTACGAGTATGCGGCATCGTCAAGGGAAACCAGAAATCGTATCCTGGATGCAATTTCCAAAATTTGTGAAACGTGAATTTTTGCCTTACAATTACGATAGCCTGGTATATCAACAGTTACAGAACTTACGTCAGGGCCCACGTTCAGTTGATGAGTACACGAACGAGTTATATCGGCTCTTAACTCGTGTTGAGCTCAGGGAGACTAAAAATCAGTAGGTTTCACGTTACGTTGGCGGGTTACGTGCTTTGATACGAGATACTTTGAATTTATTTCGGCCGGAAAATGTTTCGGATGCGTACCAACGAGCTATTCTCGTGGAGACACAACCTACTCAAAAATCGGGCTCAACTTTCGCATCTTCTTTACGAGCAGGTGTCACCTCACAGGCTGTCCGGACAGCCCCAACGGCCAGAAATGTGTTTGGGGAGGGACCTATGACCGCACGGCTGCCGGCGTTAGGCGGAGGGAACCAGTGCGGGACCGGCGTGGGTGGACAGGCGTTATCCGCGGCGGGGGAGCGAGCAGTGGCGGGGATGAGGTGCTTTGGCTGTGGTGAAGTCGGACATCGCCAATCGATTTGTCCACGTGGCCTGGGTTCTCGAGCATTATTTACAGAGGAGGCGGGAGAATATTTCATCACTGAAGGGTATGAAGTGTTAGAGTAGGGTACCCGGCGTTCCAATCTAATTGGACGTATTCTACTTGTAAATACAGTCTATTGGAATTATATTATGAATAAGGCATTTCTTTATCTTAAGAGAAAACATTTATCTTATAATTGCACTTAAGATAAAATCCCTAGATCACTTATGGTTATAAGGTATGGTTGCGCATAGAGATGGTGATCATGGAACATACCTTGAAAGCCGTGATCTTAAATACAGTTCCAAGTCGATGGATGTTTCGAGATGG